TTGGAGCTTTGGTAATTTCAATTGTACATTATTGATTAACCTCTTTGTCAAAATATCTGTCAGATAAACGAATGACTGATATGGTTTTTTCGTTTATTACCAATATCAAAAATTGAGTACTTGCACTTGCAAGATTTTTTAGTAACCTCGAATAGTCTCATCTGTACCTCAGAAACCCATCGTCATGAATACTTTGAGATCAATATTTTTACATTACCTCAACCGACCTCAACTATCCAGTGTGAGGTCAGTAACGCATACATTTCATTGTTTCTGACTATTTAGTGGTGACTTTATTGTGACCAAAATCTCATTTCTGTTTTTTTTTTAAATTTCTTTAGAGGTTCATGTTATTTTGTATACTCAGAATTCTATTATGAAACAATAAAATGATGTTTTGTATTGCTTTCAATTCAGTTTTTTTTCTCAATTTTTTAAAACATTCCACTTGTTTCATATAACCCATCATAAAGTCGAAAGTAACACAATTTCAATTTTTCACGATGGTATGAAGTGAAGATGATATTGTTTTATATAACCCGTGCCCAAGGGTTATATAAAACGTCAAAAAAAATAGAAATGCGTATCAAAAAACAACATAAATCCATAGAGAATATACCTTTGTTTATATAAACTTCAGATTACTACGAATATTTTGATGCATTCTGATTTTCCAGAACGGGAATAATCAGTAAAATGTTGAAAAATCGTTTCATATATCACTCATCAGATGACGGTACTTGTCATATATATCTAATTTCAATTCATTGTCTTAAAATAATAATATTAACGAAAGTGCAGAATGTCACGTATTTTATTTGTACTTATTTTAGGCTATCGTAATTCTGAAATTCCACTAGGTCTTGGACCGAGTCTTAGACTCAGTCCCAGGTATTGGTGCGTCACCATCGAGATTATACTCGTTCTTGGTAATAATGTGAGAGGTAAAATAATGCCGGTATGGCGGAATAAAATATGATCTTATTTCGATATTATTGCTGTTGCGATGCCGATTGAATAGTAATAATTACGATTATTATCACTATTTTACTATTTAACCTCTCACACTCGCTCTCACACTAATACTAAGACCTGAGAACGAACTAAGACCAATTAGCTATAATGAGAATTATTATTATTATTATTATTATTTTAAATTCATATAATTCCAGTCACGACCCTGCGGCCTCCGACGTCACGCAGAGTCGTGCTGGATAAAATCCAGTGACTACTCCTCACAGCCTGTGAGGTGAGTAATCAGTGGGACCAAGTACCGTGTGCCCTGAGTAGACGCAATGATCATAGTATTATTATTATTATTATTATCAGTCTAATATTATTCAAGGCCTATTTGTATCTCGTATAGCTGCCTATAGGTATATAATCATCGATAATCATTATTATAACTGAAATGATCAATGCTGTTTACAAAACCATAAAAGTGCACTTTTTCTATAGACATCCGGTGTAGTATATCATCATCATTATAGAATGAATAAGTAATTGCATCCACTGTTTAGGGGTTTCTTGGGGTTCTTGTTTCATGTGTATCAATAAATTTGTGTCCTATTGTACTCGTATTGTATATCATGTTGATCATATATCAATATCCACGATACAAGAATGAATAAAACCTTCAAGAACAGTGAGGCTATAAAAATCGAAATGTGAAAATGGATTCGAGTGATATTATGTAAGTACTTAGTAAGTACTAACGGTAAAATCCGAGGTAAAATCTAAATTGTACTATGATGGTCAATTTTATTCCCATATTAATTGATTAAAACGCATTTTTATTGATTTGTGAAATTTTTTCTCGTTTTTCACCTATCGTAATATCAATTATTCAATCCGATTCAATCGAATACCAGGGCAAACAGAATATACAAAAGCAGTTACAGTAGTTTTTCTTGTAATATTTTGATGAACTGTCTGTCCAAAAAAACTTTTCTTACACATCTTATGCATGCTTATTTATATAGTTGCATGTTTCAAATTAGCCGAATTATATGCTTTATAACTGTAAATTTTAGCACATGTACCTAATTCATCCTTGATTTATCTATAATATCATATTTTTTTGCACCTCGAAGATTATGAATGGTATTCCTAGGATTTGAAAGTATGCTCCAGCAATTCGTTCATCGCTACTCGTCGCACTATATTTTTTTATATACTTACATAAACATAACGACAAAATATCTGTTAGTGCATGATAATATAATAAAATCGGAAAAACTCTGGAAGATTCTGGTGATGTTTCAAACGAGGTTTCAACATTATATGTTACATACCTACCCTTGATATTCTCTCGGATATTCTACATAGCTTCTGCCTTGGCTTTGGTATCGAATATTTCGACAATTTTCGAAGAAATTCTTGAAATTGCTGTATAAGCATCAATAAGTATAATTATTGACGATAATAATTATTGATGTGTAACTCGATGTATAAATATTCATATTAAATCGACAGGTGCTGAAAATCATTTTGTTGACTCATCTGTGCATCACTGTGGAGTCCAGTATCAAAATCGACCTCTACATGAAATTAAACAGAACCAGCAAGAAATATTTAATCAATCTGAATGTAGGTACATAAATACAATAATATGATATGGAAATATCAAATAGTAATCGAGATATCGTGCGAAATATATATTGAGCGAGAAAAAAATATTTTGGCACGTTCCATTTGCACAGCTGTGTTTAAATAAATATACAATTTTGTAAATATTTGTATCCATAAATTTATAAATTTTGCGAGATGATAGGCATTATGCTAGGTCACAGCACCGAACAGATACTTTCACAGTCATACAGTCACGACGAGTCACGAGTATACACCCTCACATCCCACGCATTTCTCAGCTTCTTGGGATATGAAAAACCGAGTCAAAACCCGAGTCAAAAACCGAGCAAAACAACATGATTGTATGACAACAGGGTACAACTTGAGTTCTGTGGTACAACCTTGTACAACCATGCAATGGTGTTGCAGGTATACTCTCCGAGGTATTTCTGCTTATCATGTCTTTTATTTCTCAATACTTCCAATTATTTTCCTCATTTCCCATCTATTAATTATCGAGTTATTACTTATTTAAGTAAACACTAACCAAGAACAACGTCCACTTGAGAAAATTCAACTGTTTGCATCTGAAAAAATTTCCACTCTATGCAGGAGGATACCTCGGAGGATTCCTACTTCAATAACCTGCTACCAGATGAAATAAAAGCAACGGAAAAGATAGACAAATTTGAATCCACCTTGAATTCATTCCTGATCGACAACTGTGATGATGATGATGATAGGGTAGGTCCCAATTATTATTAGGAAATGAATCTTCATTCCTTAAATAGTACCAGGCATTTTATTCACAACTAGAATATACCTGCATAAATTTAAAAAATATATGTATTATCTCGTGTATCGTTTTTAAATGGGCGTGTACACCTTAGTAGAACTTTTAACTCAAACCATATTTATAATGATCCTTATATTAATTCTTTCAACTGTTTTCTCGCGCTGTTCACTCTGTCAGAAATCATGTATCATTCATCTCTGTCTGGAATTGCCTTGTTTCAGTATTAGGGTTTTGACGTCACATCATCGCCTCGTTTTCAGAGGTCCGAAAAATCGGGAATTTCAATAATTTTTTATAAAACGTAGGGAGCTCACAGCAAGAAACGGTTTGCGGTGGTGAGCTAGTTTGGGTGAGTTCTATCGACCTTTCAGTTTCTTTCGAGGTTTCTTTCGATTCTCATTCCCAATATTTACCCTCTTATTCCCAATTTCCATTTATTCCGAGATTAATTCTAATTAATGTCTTTCATTTCCCTTTATTTCATTTCCTCAATAACTCCTCAATTCTTTCCTTGATTTGTCTCATTTCCCATATAAGTAATAAAGTTTTCCTCTGAATACCTCGCTAAATATACCTATCATTGCATTCTTCTTTTCATCCTCGTTCCCATACTCGTTTTCATCCTTGTTTTTAGTCTTTCCATTGTCCGAATCATTTTTTTCCACGGGCATTCAATATAGTTTCCCCCCTTCTTCTGAATTCTTTCTAATTCTAGTAATTGCCGATATCTGAAATTGTTTCTGTTTGCTAGGTTCCGAGCTCATTTTCTCTCAATTTATTAGAATTGTCCCAATCTGGGTCTTTTTAGCTCCTCTCACTTTTGTTCAATTCCTCTCATTAGAATAAGTTTCTGTTCCTCTGATATTTCTTCAATTACTCTAATTTTTCATATTTCTATCTCTAATAGCTAACAATCCTTCGTCGATTCCTTCAGATAAATTTATCAATTTCTCAGTGGTGAACAATAGCAAACCTTGGCAAACCTGGTTTCAATAACACTAGTTAACGTCACTACAAAACAACATTCTACACGATTCTACATAAAACGAGACGTAAATTAGCAAGAATTTTCTTCATGCAGAGTGAACTCAATCAAGAATTACCATCGAGAATGACTGACTGATATTACTGATAATCCCGGATAATCACGATTTATCCATCAGTATTTTCCACACTAAAATCAATTCACATTTTTCTTCTTCTCTTAAATTTTCCTATGGTTTTCTGACTCCCTCATGCGATGTCAATTCCACCAGATCCGGTATGTTTTGTCGTCTTTTGTTTCATGAGTAGGCATACTCGTTTTCAATGGACTTAACGGACACTATCACATTCTTGTTATCACTGCCAATTCGGGTCATAAAATAATAAGTATCTAAGTACCTACTTAAGTACCTACTCTACCAATTTCAATTTATTGCTCAAGCATAAGTAAAAACTCCAGACGAATATCAGGATCAGGGTACCTACCTACAAGTACTCAGTCAGGGTCTAGGAACTCGGCTAGGACATTGAAAAAAAACCGAAATATCTTGAATATGTCGTCCGATGATAGTAGACCAAGAAAAACAAGAAAAACCTACCTATATACTAATATCGACTAATACCTAAGGTAATTATAATAATGACCTACCGTATTAACATCTCCAAACTTGCTAGTCCCAGATCTCTCAAATGGCACGTGATTCGAAGGATGGTTTCCCATTTTCACGAAAGAAGATAGAGACGAGAAATAATATTTATTATCTACCCTCTACTACGTCATACGTCCCGCATTATACGAAAGTTTCGAGTACAACCTTCCTTGTCGAAAAGACAGCACGATACCCTTATTAGAAAACTGTATTCATTGAAAATTGAAAGACGGCAGATGTGGTCCGTTGAACAGATGCTTAGCTTAGAGCAACCAGCCAACAAAACTGAATCACCACCTTGAAGCACCCTCGACAAACCCAGTACTCCACTGGACGGCTATACGCAAGAATGCAGTTGCACCTAAGCCGAGGTAAACCCAGCAGATCCTGATAGTTGAAAAATTATTTGAAATGAGTGGAATCTCGTTTATCAGGCGATTTTCTTCGGAACCAGACGGCCTTGGAGATGGATGCGGAGGTCACGATACCACTTCAAACGTCACTGAGTAAACCAAAAATCCTCACGAGTCTGAACACAAGGCACACGAATTTCGATGTTCTTTTTTCTTTTTCACGGAGACATCAATCCTAGATCAGAAGAGAAGTGATCGTCGGAAACTTTGCGAATCACGGGAACGGTCACTAAAACAACTGTGCTAAAACGGAACAAGAAGCGCGATATGGATTCGTTTTCTTGGGAATTTCGGGTAGAAATGGGGACGTATTGTTGGAAAAAAAACCGTTAAACCCGACGCTGCGACCGAGGTATATCTCGCGAGGTGCTCCGGCGGACAAAACAGCGGATAGCGGATGACGATGACGGTTGAAGGTATGTCGTTTCTCGTATCGCATCCCCACACATAGCTATATTACCGGTCCTGAAAATGTTGACACAGGTAAACGCACCTAGGGCAATGTTGCCGCATCCCGGAAACAGACACACTTCTGCGAATTACCTATGTGATTGAGGTTACCGACACCTGATAAAAATGCAATAGGTAGGTATTCTTTTTTATTCTGATAGGCTAATTGAGAATTAGGTAGGTAACTACTTCAGGGCCGTTATTGAATGTATTTATTCGAATTAAAAACAATATAGGTATAGCTATGCGGATTCCGATTAAATATTATACAGTATATGATGCAAATGTATGGAATAAATTCATTATTTCAGAAATGGGCGACATTTTAAAAAATTCCAAAAACACGTGAGGTTTCATTTTTGAAGCCTCATCTCATGATATCCATATGAGAGATGTTACGTCACCGGTGTTGGAGTAATGACGAAATGAACGATTTTTTCAAATGAAAACAGGGGTCATGTGACACCTCGTTTGAAAGGTCTACTGATCGTCTATTCAACAGTCAACATTTTGCATAAGAAAATTGAAATTAAAATGGATTATCATTTGATTAACTGAATCTTATTGCAGAGGTCTGCTACTGAGAATTGAACAACGAAGGGTCGTCTATTTAAAAAAATACATCAATTAATAAAGTTCTGAAGTCTAGTTTTTGGATTTTTTTCGGAAGTCGTCTTGTTTTGATATGAATTTATTCCATACATTTGCATCATACTGTATAAAGAATAAGAAAACGAAACAGGTTGCCACTTCTAGTCATACTTTCTACTGAAAAGCAAAATGTTATGACATTTCAATTTCAATTAAACTATGTATATTTTTATTTATTTATTTATAAGTTATTTATTTATTTTAATTTTTGCAGTCGGCGTCTTCTTGACAAAATGTCTTCTCTTCCGCTATATCAATATCAAAATTATGAAATTATCGAGGAAATTATGGATACAGAACATGAAGATTGGATTTTTTATTGTTCATGTGTTGTTTGGTCATATTCAATTGGAATATTTTTTTTGGATTCATGAATTGTGGAGACCAAAATCACTTTTCAACATCATTTTGATCTTTAATCGAAATACATTTCACATTTAATGCTTAATTAATATCCTATATATATGTATAAACACCCTCATGATTATTAATTGTTGATTGTTAATTGTTAATTCCTAGTTGTTGATTTAATTGAATCTATAAACCCAGCATGACGGAGTTACATAGGTATAGATATTAGAGATTATAGAGAGTTTTTGGGTTTCTATATACAACAAAAAAATTAACATCACAGAGTCGACATACGTTTATTTATTGAAATTGCTCAATTGAAAATCGACATTTAGCCAAATTATTTATTGTCTAATCGACTATTTTCGTTAATTTTCAGAATTCAGTTTTCTTTTGGATTATCGGATCCCGCACCCCTTGAACCGGTCCTGTGTCCTGTGTCCAAATTATCGTATTCCAACCCAAAATCGAATGACCTCGAGTGTTTTTCTTTGCATAATTAGAAAATGTATAGGTATCCAGAAATTATACAGTATGTCTGAAAAAGTTGGCATATCCAAGGTATACCTATCTATAATGAGAAACTCCTTTCTCAGCTAAATATTGGTAGAGTAAATCTAATCGTCAGGTTTCATTTCAGGTTTTTTGTGGATTTATAAAGATTACCATGGTGCTATTGGGCCTATAGGCTTGATTATGAGCGTAAATAGAAGTCATCATTTAAATACACTGAAACTCTATCCTTCATAAACTTCCTCGTAGTATGAGTATTAGAGCCGATATTTTGCTCAGAAGAGGGCCTCGAAGAGGGCCAAAACTGTTATTTTCAACTGTTGGAAAAAACAGCAACTTTTTGAAGTCCTGTATCATGGGAGGTTTTAGTCCCACAATAATAAAATCAGACTCAAATTGTCGAAAATTTATCCAGCTTGAATAAAGGTCTGATTGACTTTTTTTCAGGAACTCGCCTTTTCGGACTTTTAGGCTAAAAACTGGAATCAGTAGAGCACCACACTTTTAGCCTAGGTCGAACCCTCGAACTAGGTTTTATATTATTTAAACAAAAAAGAGAAATGTGCGAATAATCAATGGGAATTAGGGTGTCTAGAGTAAGTGGCATATGGGAACAACGAGATAATGCAATTGAAAAAACGAAAAAAAGGTATTATGTACAGGGTGGTCGGAATTATGGAAATTGGACTGTTTTCATATTAGCGAATTCTACCATTCTACCAAGTTCTGATAAAATGAGCGAATATGGAAACTATAATCTGAGTACCTATCTATAATGGATTTCTCTTAAAATAGTGATTTTGGTATTCAATTAGCACCATAAGATTGACGGTGGAATGACCTTGTATTCTTATCAATCCCGGTATCGTTAGATTAGAAATGAAAATCACTACCTATATATATACTCGAATATTGAATACAGTCGCCGAAGATTTTACTCAGATATGCAACACCCTGTATTCTTGCTATAGGTCTGGAAATAGGTTTTCAAAAAACATGATAAACTTGTTCAAGGGTTTTTTGCAAATCATCAATAATATCAGGAATAACGAATTCATCCCATAATTTATCATCATAACGAGGCATCTTACACTACCAATACCGAGACACCAATACCAACAGAGTTGTTAGAAATTAGTAGGTAGGTAGATAATGACATCACTGTAATATTGTTGAGTTTATTATTCACATTAAATACTTGCATAATCATGACGCGTATGAATAATAAGAATTGACTAGGTAGTTGTATCATTCCACAAATTGAATGTTCGCTAGGTATTTCCAGTATTCCAATCGATGATGGAAAATAATTATGCGAATCTGCAGAATCATTGTTTTTCGAAGAATTTTATTCCCGAAATCAAACCTGCCTATACGAAGGTCGAAAAAATAACCATTGACTGTAGAATTTAAAAATCGTATATTATAAATCAAGGGACAGAAATGCATCCAAGATTTTTTCCAAGCTGCGGTGCCCGAGAGCTGCCCGAGAGATACAATAAAGCACCGAGGGAAAAATAGCATTCTGCCCTGATGTGTATACAGGGTGTTTCACAGATAAAGGGAAATATTTCAATGGTACATAGGGGTCCTGAAGTTACTTTATTTTGAGCTGGTTCAGTCAACTCTGCAATATGGCCTGATGTTTTGGGGGTCCTCTTGTCACTTTGAAAGGGTATTTGTAACACAAGAAAGGATAATGAGAACAATTTGTCATGCTTATCCAATGAAAACATGTAAACCACTCTTCAAGAAATTTCGAATACTAACCCTATACCGTGTTTGTATATTCTTGAACTAACTATGTAGGTATGTACATACATAAAAATGAACCAAAATGAAATCATGAGAAATGAAGATATGCATAATTATGTATAATACTAGGAATAAAGAAAAATTTCGACAGCCCTATTCATGATTGACAGTCTGTGAAAATTCACTAAAGCATATGGATATCAAATGTTTCAATAAAATACGAGACATATATATAATAGATGTAAACTTGAATGATATTTCATTCATAAATAAATTGAAGAACTTTCTTCTTGAAAATGCATTTTATAGTGTGGAGGAGTTTTATAATTGTTGATGTTCAAATATTGTCAAAGTTTCTAATGTGTATGTATGAGTGTTTTATATATTGTCTTTGTGACTTTACCTATAGGTACACTATTTTAGCATTGTATTTATTTGTAAAAATTTCTTCGTTTGACTAGTCTGATAAGTCTTGTACATTGTGTATGAGCTATACCTTGTATAATCTTTGATTGACGAATACATTTATCTATATATGTATCTAATTGGTAGCCTATTCAATTTGTAATTCCGAAATAAATTTGATACTATTTGACGATTTTTGAACTAAAATTGGAAAAGGTGTAGAAGCCATACAGTGACTTCCAGTGAGATTTCACCATTTCACCCCAATCCACTGTAACAATGACTGGCCCACCAACGTGTGAAAATATTTTTACTCATGCCGAACAAAGTGTTCACCAATGATCGGTATTCACTAAATAATAAATATTGCATCGGAATCGTCATTATTCACATTTCTGTGTGGTTTATTGAAAATAATAGGGTGACTAGGGGAGAAACACGAAGATTATATAGGTAAGGTTGCACGGTTTATAGGTGTTCAAATACGGCGCCTGATAATGATAAAATAGGGAAGAGTGGTGCACCAAAAATGC